AAATTGTTGTTTGCCCCAGAAAAATTCATCTTTGGGCCAAAATGAACAGTTGCTATCCCTTAAATAAAACAATTGTGTGCTGTATACAAACCTTATTTTAAGATTTGATTTTTTATTTTGTCTCACAAGTGAAATTCACCAATCTCTTTGAAAAAAAAAGTTAAAATTTGGTGAAAATGTAGGTACAAAGGCTTCATTAAATTCTTTTGTTAAAATTTATTTTACCTCTAATGAAGCCATTAACTCATATAGAGACACTGGACTCTTGGCTGGAGATTCACTGCCCCCACAAGAGAGCTGTAAGGATGCCCCAGCTGCACCAAGTTCTAGGGACCTCTTCATGGACGGGATGTGGGTGCCTTTACTAGATACAGCAGTTGGTGCACTGAAAAGGGCATTAAATGACAATAAACATCGACTAAATCCTCATGAAATGACTTATGAGAAGATTGGAGAACTTTTTAAGTACCTTCCTGTAAATATAGATAAATGTACTAGAACATAGCTTGATGTAAATATAGATAAATGTTACAGTACTGGAACATAACTTGATATAAATATAGATAAATGTACTAGAACATAATGGACTATTAATTTTCTGCCTCACTACACTAAAATTTGACAATTACCTGCCAGATATATGTTCATGCAGGCTTTCAGAGTTTCTGATGTTGTCCTGCGGAGCTTGGGTGCCCATGGCATGCTTAAATCTTCTTTCTCTCATTTGAAATCCATTACGTTGTGAAAACACTGCAGTTAAAACACATTTCAGTTGGTGCTGAAATGTTTTTAATAATTAAAAACAACTGCATTATTTCAGCAATGTTTCTAAATAAAAAGCGCCTTTTGTGAACAATCATATCATATGGACAACAATTATACAATTATCAGTTGATGAATATGAAATTTAGAAAACAGTATTACCAACTTTCTAGTTTTACCTTCAATATATTGTGTACAGCATAAAAAGACACAGAACACAGAAGACTTAAGGAGCTTGCCAAATCAAAACAATGAGCAGAAAATTTTAAAACCAAGATTTTAAATAATAAACCAATGCTATTTCTTGCCATTTCTTACTTCTACTGCTTGCATGACAAGCCTCACAGCATCATCTTTGACGTCCTCAAGACCTTGATCCCAGGCCATCACCAGCATCCGCCCATGCACCATGCCAATATCTGGCAACATCATCTCTCTGGTACAGAAACCTGCATCACACAGATAAAAAGCTAGTGCAGGATGTTCCCATTTCTCAAAATATATTACTTTATATTGTTTTTGCATTGTGGATATTTTTCATTATTCCTCAAAAATATTATAGTACAATAACTAGAAAAGCACTCAGAGAGCGCAGACCTCTGCCAAGGCAGCAAAGTCTCCATCCAATGCTGTTTCACCCCTAAATTTTCGATATTTTTGATTATTGATTATTGATTGATTATTGATCCGGATCACCAACAGAAACTAATCATCTGTTCCTTGGCCCACTTCTGACAGTTCCTGAAAATTTCATCAAAAACGGTCCATTACTCAGTTTTTTTATTGATTGATTGATTATTGATCCGGATCACCACCAAAAACTAATCATCTATTCCTTGGCCCACTTCTGACAGTTCCTAAAATTTCATCAAAATCAGTCCATAACTTTTTGAGTTCTGTTGATGACTGACGGACAGAAAGCCGGACAGACAAACAGGGGTGAAAATATAACCTCCTTGGGGGAGGTAACAAGGCAACAAAGCTATCCAGTATACAGACAAAGGCAGACAATAATTATGCACAAAATAGGTTTTTATGTCAATCTGATGTAATAATACATAATGCTTAACAGCAAAGTTAAGACTTTGAGGCATCGCACATGTTCATTTGTACCAGTACATTGTAACTTGCTTTTCTTACTGACATGAAAAAAAAAAATAATAATAATCACTACTTATTATAACAACAAAGGTATAAAGAAAATTTTTTCCACATTTATACCAATGTGCATCAAGTAATCAAATTTATCAATTTTATTAAACAAGGCAGCAAAGCTGTCAAATGTACAGACAAAAAGCAGGAAATAACAAAACAGGCTACTGTCAATTCTGATGCAAAAGTACATTATGCTTAACTGCAAATTCAACATCAAATTTTAATTATGCTCAACAGGTATTACCAATGTAAGTGAAATGTGTAACAAGCGTAAGGCTTCAGGCCCATGGGAGTTTAAGTTCACACTTAGAAAATGCCAGAATGAGAAAAATGAAAATTTCACATAAAACTGCTTAAATTCAATAATAAATGATAACCCATTTGAGCTGGCTTCCTTATTTGAACTGCATGCCAATCCTACAAATCANAAAAGGGCCTATCGGTTTTCCTTGAAATGTGTTAACAGTGTTGCATATATGCTAAAAAGTGAAAAAACAGGATAAATTCTACAATAATGGCCTGATCATGCTGATTTTCGAACTTGACCTGCGTTTTATGAATATTAGTCAGCTCTGTAAATATAAAGCCAAAAAGTAAAACTGTCTTCCACTTATGGTGTTAACGCTGAAAGTGCACGGCGACGGCGACGGCAACATGATCGGCGACGGCGACGGCGACGACAGACGCAGGTGATGGCAATATGTACAGACACATCTGTGTCTGTACATAAAAATAACATGTTAATATTAAATTGAATGTCATTTTAAAAAACACAGAGATTCGGGCTTATAAAAAACTTTATTCATACATAACTATTTCCTAAGGTATATGAGTACTTAAAATGAAAACCAAAACATATCACAATCTTAATATCCGGATTATTCAAGATATTCCCAGAGGAGGTTAGTAATAGAAAACTAAGGCTCAAGACAATAGAAAAGAAAACATATATATAGCATGCTTAGTGTTAGCATTTACTGAGTTGGCACGAATTATAGTTTCTGAATTGCTGTTCTGAGCGCATTTAGTTTCATATCTGCAGATGGCTTAATGTATTGGTAGACTGCATCACTCTTCCAATCGCCCATAGCTTTAACCATTGCTAAAGGAGTGCCCACTGACATAAGCCATGTAGCCCCTCCCCTACGGAGGCTGTGTGTGTTGTAGTTGGAAAGTGGCAGGCCTATATCTTGTAGGGCCTTTAGGAGACGTCTTCTCAATGTGTTTTGTGTGAGCGCTAGGATACTTCCCTCCTTGTTTATGTATGACAACAAGGAGGTAAAGTCCGAGGCTGAGAGTTTGGTTCCTAGGAACTTTAATAGTGCTGACACTGGGCACAGTGTTGAGTTTTCGATGTATGGCAAGACGACAATGTGTGGTTTCTGTCCATGCTGGTTGGTTTTTGATTTCCTTACTCTTAGAATGATTCCTTTATCTGTTAGAGAGATGTCTTTCCTGAGGATAGAGTTCCCTGGATCTGAGGTGGATTTAACAGTCACGTTGCTTACTCTCAGCAGACCAAAAAAGGCTGTCAGACAAGCTGCCCATAATTGTAGGTCCTGGGGGTTACTGAGATTCAGCGTGCCATGGATCTTAAAAAGGTGCTCAGGTAGTAAGGGCGCTTTTTGTTGGCCTGGTTCTCCCTTGTGGCGTTTCATGCCTCCTATAATGGACTTGAGCTCCCAAGAAGTAAGCGGGTTTCCCAAGTCGAACTCCATGTGTAAAATTCTGACTATATTAAGATATTGGCGGACGGTTGATACTGCACAAGATCGTGCCAGATACGCTGCATATCGACAGACATTTTCTTGTGAAATGGGAATTGGCGCACAGTTGATAGCTCTGCAGAACTTAACGAAAGCTCTTAAGTGAGACCTGTATGCAGCTTTGGTGGAATGAGCAAAAAGTTGTGACTTCCAAAACGCCACCCCCCTGTCTAGTTCTCTTCTGAGCTGTATGCCAGTGATCCCTGTGAAGACAAAAATTTAAGAGAATCTTCAGACATGTGATGATGCAGGCAGTATGTAGGAGGTGGAGTTGAAAGCAAGGTGTACCAATTGTTTATATAGTTAATGAATTCCCGTGCTTTGCCTACATCATGTAGTCTAGATATTGAGTCAGCAATGTAGTTGTCAGTCCCTGCAATATGGGTGGCAATGACTGAAAAGTTGTAATGTATTGCTAAGTATGCGAGTTCTTTCAGTAAAGAGTTGCACATGATGTTGGGGGAGGCTCCTTTGTTCAGTATTTCCATTGCTACTGTACTGTCTGTATAAATGACAACACGCTTATTACGCCAGGCTTTGCCCCATCGATAGGCTGCTAGAACTGCTACGGCGAGTTCCTTAACATTGATATGCTGGACGCTTAATGCTGCGCTGTCCGCTTGCCAATTGATATAAAACCAGTCACCGTAGTGGAACGCTCCTCCTGCGGAATTACTGGCATCCGTGAATGCGTGGACCTGCTCGCGTGTGTCCCAGATTAAGCGGGTATTATTCCCTGCCCATAACCACTTAAGCCACCAGTCGATTTCCCCATATATAGTTTGTAGCCTACATTTGTGCGATGGTTGCTGTAACATTGATATAGCGTTGAAAATTGGCCGCAGGTGTGTCCTGCCCCAGGGTATTACGTTAGCTGCCCACGATAACCTCCCAGCTAATGACTCCAATTGTCTTTTTGTGGCTCGTGTGCGAAGGCGAAAGTTTTTAAGTGTCTGGCAGAGATCATGCACTTTACTTTGCTCTAAAGCTAGTGTACCTCTTTGTGTGTCTATGACTGTTCCCAAGAAGGTTAGTCTCACAGTGGGGTCAATGACCTTCTTCCAATTTATTCTGAACCCTAGCTGTCTTAATAGTAGTAGAAGCTCATTGTAAGCAGCTAAACATTCTGTGAAGGTCCTTCCCACCACTAAAAAGTCATCCAAGTATACTACCAATCGAAAACCCCGTCTTTCCATGATGCGTTTCACTGACTGTGTTATACGGTGGAAGATCATGGGAGATTTTCTGGCCCCGAAGGGGAGTCTGGTATCCACTAACACACATTTTGTAGGCTGGCCTGTGAATTGCCACTGAAGACCTGTGACACAATATTGTGAAGCATGTAGCGGAACTGATCGATATGCTGACTGGAGGTCTACTTTTGCAAGAAAATAACCTGGCTGTATGAGAGCTAATGCACTGTCAAGTGACTCGCATTGAAAAGGCACTTTGTCAGCATAGTCATTCACGGCATTTCCCTCAGGGCGGCTGTAGTCATGGACTAGACGTACGCTGTTATCAGGTTTTGGTATTGCAGACAGAGCACTAATAATTTTCGGTGGCCCATGGGGTATAATTAGATGTCCCTCTTCTATTTCTATTTTTATTTGTTCTTCTACTTTAAGTCTATTCTCTGGGAGCATCGCTGACTTACTATTCTCCGTTTTCGCTGGCGGAATATTGTTCTCTTTGTCTATTATTTTAAAACCATTTTCTATGCCATTAACTATAAAGTCACGGTCACAATCCCCCTGTAATAGTTGTTTCCAAAGCTTAAGATTCTCGGTGAGGGGGGAAACTGTGGGGTACTCCCTAGGTGTATGTCAATAATTTCTGGTAGCAGATTGGGGTGCAGACTGTGGCACTGACTGCTGTTGTCTGTGATTCAGGTCATTGTGGTTAGCTGAAAGGCAGGTGTGGCATACATGGGCGAAGCGGCAATTTCTCATGGCACATCCCTGTCTTCCATTGAACTTTAGACATACAGGCCGGCCAGACGTGGGTTCTATTCTACTCTGTCTTGTTGGCCTAGTGTTTCTCTGGTGTTGGGCGGGCGTTTGTCTAGACGTTAAGAGCAGCTGCATTAAAAAGACATTGTCCGTACCCCACTGAAAGCCCTGAGCCGCCTGGAGCTTACGGTATTCCATATCGTATGTCAGCAGGGACGCCCAAGTGAAGGTCTGGGCCATACAGGCAATTTTTGTGATGTAACCCACGTAACTACTAACTGTGACCATATCGGCGTTGTCTTTGTCAATTATCTCCTGTAAAATCTTCATGCTGGCCTCCATGTATTGGGCCTGTGTTATAGTCTCTAACGAAGGTCTCCTATCGTTTAGGGTTACGTTGAAGTCTCCTATCCGCAACGATGTGTTGGACGATTCACTGGCGTTGTAGTTTTGTCTGAACATTACGAAATCTCGTATGTCATAGTGACGTTTAGCCGTAGATTTGTTTGTGGTGAAGGGATCAAAAGTACCCTTTCCTTCATGGTTGGTCCCCGTGGGGTCAGTTGGGCTCCTTGCGTCCAACAGCTGGCAGATTTTTGTAAAATCTAATTCCCCCGTTGCTCCGCCAGTAGGGTTCATCTCCGAGTCAGCCTCGTTACAGGGCGCGGCCATGTTGCGGGTTGCGTCATTTCCGCCCAGGTTCACATCCGGGTCACGATTCACGTTGGTGTCTGTGAGAGGTTGCTGGCGCTCTTCGCTGTTTGACGGTCCAGGGAACGATGGGCCCAGCGGCTCGCGTTCGTCCTCTCTCCTTCCCCCTGTTTTGAGAGCAGCAACTGCTTCCTGTAGCATCAGAATCTGACCCAAGGGGATGGCTTTCCCGAACGTTTTCTGAATAAGCGTGTCCGTTAGAAGTCTGCATGACCTAACGCTCGCAAACCCTGCTTCTTTCAGGACGTCCAAAGTCTCTGTACTCAACTCATATTCGGCCGCCCAGGCGCCGAAGTCCTGTGCCATTTTTCGATAGTAGGTTTCGTAGTCAGTGGTTGTTGTAGGTTCAAGGTAGGTTGTATATACGAAAGCAATAAAATTCGCTGGTTATTAATACGTTCGAGAAAGTTTCATGACGCTCTGTACTGCTGCGTCGCTGCGGTCTCAACTGATATCTCTTCTTATTTGAAAAAGGGGGCTGAAGTTAAGGCTTGTTGCTATTGGTCTATTGTCTTAATTAGTTACGCAACTGGACGATCATTGGACAGGCTATCTAGGTTGTTTTTCACGTGACTATTGGTCACTAGGAGCTAGGGGTCTAGTTAACTACTAATTAATTCCAGATGGCTAATTCCAATGACTAATGGTCACTACCGAGAGAAAAGGATGCTAGCCCCTCTTCCTGTGTTTTTAAATACCCCTTAATACTAAGAAGGTAATTTGAAAAGTTGAGCCAACTTATTTGTGACTTTGTTTGTATTATTATTTGTGATTTAATATGAAAATAACATTTACTCACACCTCATGATAAAAAATTTACAGCAAAGGTGAACAGAAAAACAATTATATCGGCTCGCATTTAAAGGGTTAATTACTCTTGGTTTTGGCGAAAAAATAATAAATGAATTTTCCCGTAGTAAACAATTTTCCCATACTTATCAATGGTTAATGAATCCATTTTTACATTCAAAGTTAGTCTCTGGTTTTTTTCTAAAAAGTTTTTTTTTTACACCTGTCAATATAGCCATTAATGGAGGTCACATGGTCTAAAGAAAAGCTCAGAAATCATAATAATAGCTATAACTGCCATTTTTGTGGTACAACAATATATTATATTTCTATATATAGCCATTAATGGAGGTCACATGGTCTAAAGACAAGCTCAGAAATCAGAATAATAGCTACAACTATTTTTGTGGTACAACAGAATATATTATATTTTCTATGAGTTGTTCACAATGTTTTCATTGTGAAATATAGATCTCATACAAAGAGTTATTATCCCTTTTTTTATTATCTCCATTTAAAATAAAGTTTACATATTAAGATAAAAATTACATTTTCATATCTAATTGAATGTCATATATATAGACGAATTGAGTTAACTTTTTTGTATGACTTTGGTATCCTAAGACAGCATGAAATCCTAGCAGGTGTCAAATTTGAACAATGTGGTAAGTGTTTACTATAATTTACATACTTAAAGGGATAACAACTCTTTGTATGAATCTATATTTCACAATAAAAATATTGTAAACAACTCAAAGAATATATATATATATATATATATATATATATATATATATATATATATATATATATATATATTCTGTTTTACCACAAAATCAGCAGTTATATACTGACAGTCAATGGAAACGCAACATTTATTTATCAAATAATATTTTAAGTTCCTTTGGCACATTAAGAAAATAACAGTTTTCGTGTGAAATATGACCCATTATTCAGTCACACAAGGTGAAATAAAGGTCAGAAAAGATAATTAAAAAAAGATCATTAAAATCCAAGGTCACGTGATCAGATCTCTTCTGTTCCGGCTCCGCCCAGCCTCCAGCATCCCCAGGGCCCGCAGTCGCTCTTTCAGTGTCAGACGTGGCATCACAGAACTTTTTTTGTCATGTGTCATACTGGATTTGGTGACTATCTTAAATAGGCTTAATTAATCACCATATATCGAATCTGATTAATTCACACCAATTAGGAAAAACACAAGATTTTGTAACACCTGATCACAAAATCACTGAAGCGGAAATTTTAAACATCTGAGTGGTCAGCCCACTCTCTTATGACCAAACAAGTGCATTTGTACTTGTTTATATGGTTGGAATAGATTCTTGGTAAAAGTACAAGAGTACAAAAGTACAAGAAAGTTTTCTGAAGCGTTTTCATTGACTGTCAGTATAGCAATTGTTCAGAAATCGGAGCTTGTCATTGCACCACATGACCACCACAGATGGCTATACTCTGTAAAAATCTCTTGAAAGACAATTTTATCTCTTAAAGGATTATTACAAAAAAACTTTTTAGAAAAAAAATGGATTCATTAACCATTGGTAAGTATGGGAAAATTGTTGTTTATCCCAGGAAAATTCATTTTTGGGCCAAAATGAACAGTTGTTATCCTTTTAAGGCAATATCCTGGAACATTTTCAATGTAAATTTAAGTGCTTTTTCCTAGCGGAAAACTTGGGGAATTCCAGCTTGGGGACTCCCACAAGAGCCAAATCCGATTCCTGTGCTTGTATGCCAGCGGAAACGTATTCCATATGAGTGAACTTTCCCATGAAAAACTTGAAAGAAAATGTTGGGGCACGTTCTTCTAAATGATTCTTAATATATTTCAAGAGACTTTTATGTCTAGAAAAGCATTTTATCGACAAAGCATGGGAGTGGAATATGTCCTTGTGGGTTATTCATGGACCAAATGTCACTTCCAGAAAGTTGCAAGAGTTTGTTAGTCCAAGACTTTCAAGAGTTTCGAGATTACCATCTAAGTCCAAGTTACAAATTCTAGTAAATAGTTACAAATTGTAGTAAGTTACAAAGTATCCAGAATACGGCCCCAATTCTGTAAGTTTAAAGAAAAAAGCTAAAATGGTTTTCTGCTAATAGTATTATCTCTGAAAGTTCAGGGTAATGGCAGGTGAGGGCTACATGTAAAAACACATCTAGATAAACTGACATTTCTTTCTCTTAAAACATTCCGTTAGAATTGGTAATTTTTAGACAGTCTGCTTTGGGCAAAGAAAAAAATGCATGTTGATATATCATTGTGACAGATGTTTCAAATTAATATCATTGTGCTGCTTTATCTCTATCTCAGTGTAACTTTATGACCTATTATTTGCAAAGCATTAACCCCTTGCAGCAAAATGTCACTTACTGATTGCCCCCTCCTCCTCTGGAGGTCCTGGCAGCACCACCGAACTATAGTTCAAGGGACTGGCTGGCTGGAACCTTTGCTGAAAATCAAGATAAACAAGGCAGCAAAGCTATCAAATGTACAGACAAAAAGCAGAAAATAATGATGTACAAAATAAGCTACTGTCAATTCTGATGCAACAATATATGATGCTTTTTAGTACAACATAATTAATCAACAAAGTCAGCCAAATTTCTACTCTACACAACAGGTAATATGGAAGAAAGGAATATTTAAGTGCCATTTCACGAGAAAGTCAACCAAATAGCAGCAAGGTGGTTTTTACTATGTGTTGATAAAGTGTAAAAAGTGTATAGTTAAGGTGACATCAGATACGGGTGATGACTTTATGTCCAGACAGTGTTATAAAATAAAAAGGTATCCTCTGTTCAATAAATTCATCAATATACATACCACAAAAGCTGATCTTGTTGTTTTTGCTTTTTTGCTTTTAATTTTGTGAGATTCTTTCCTAAGTGCTTTAACAGCTGGTGTGTACGTGAGGCTGGAGCAGTTCAGATCTCTAGGCACTACAAAAATTAAATAATAATTACCGTTTCCTGATAAATTTAGTCATTGCCAGTGTTTTTTCATTAGCATCCAAATTTTACCATTTACCTTGGACAGTATACTTTGCCCTAACTGGTAAATTACCATAGTTTTCACTATTATGCAGTTGAGCTTTTATTTCCAATACTAGGCTTAAACAAATGTAATGGAGGAGTACTTACTCAGCATAGAACTGTAAGTCTGACATCTAGTGAGTATAGCTAACAGAAACTCATTGTGAAGATGAACTAAAATATAATCAATGGAAATTAACATTATATAAAATATGTGGAAATCATTCAAATGAGGTGATTTTACCTCAACATATGATACATATTTAATATTTTATCACTTTCGGATGTAACTAATTTTCCATAATTTTCTTGCTGAACAATAAAGATAGGTGACACAACATAAAACAGTATAAGACAAGTACAGGGTAAGTACAGGATTAAGCGGTCTTCCTTTCATGTTTAGGCTGTGGACCAGCTAGCACTCAGCTCTTCTCATTCTGAATGCCCCCAAAGATTTTCCAAGGGAGCATGCCCCAGGACCCCTAGATATTTAGAAAATGTGACCATTTTTTTGGATGTATAGTCACATTTTTGGAAGTTTAATGTCAAACCTTGAAAATGCCAATATGTGAAATATGAAAATCTCACAAAATCTGTATAATTTCCAGAACAATAAACCAATCAGACTGTTTTTACTTGAAGCTGTATTTTAATCCTCTTTTTTTTTCTGTAAGTTTGAGATTAGTATGTACTTAGTAAGTAACATGTACTTAGTAAGTAACATGATTTTTCTTAAAAGGTCACTATGGCTGCAGTGCCCAAAATGGGGTGTACATAAAAAGGAGATAAAATTGAATCTAACCCATCATTAGTGACTCTTCAGATATTTTAGATGGAAAAAAAGTTGAGGTAATCCTTATTAAGGAAGATAAGTTAAAAGGAGCAATTGTAAGATCAAAATGGGGCAAAGAATTGTGTTGGATGGTAATGATGACAGTGACTTTTTAGACAGACAGGGAATTGTCCTAAAATCAGTACAAACATTTACAGTGTCTGCACATAAAATCAATATTCTGAGGTTTCATAATAAATATATATATTTACAATACCATGTACCCCCATCCCCCCAAAAAAGTGTGTAAGTGGCACTTTTCTACCTTTTAATACAATAGCATATTTGCATCAATTCTGGAAATCACTTTACATTTATACTTTTCTCATTTGGCATATTTTTAAGTTGGTTTATGCTTATGGAACAGGACTTCATTGCCTCTTCTGATAGCATTCTTAACCTGGTCTACCTACAGATGTCATGCCAGATGCAAATTATTAAAATTATTATTTAAAATATTTGTTCCAACAATAAGATACTGACCTGCCTCCCGTGTGAGCAATCTTCTGGCTTCCAAATCAAAGTCTTCTCTTGACATCTATCAAAAAAACAGGAGGTCAAACTTTGAGTAGTGTTTATAGAGTGCACCTTGAAACTTGGAATAACCCCATTAGTAGCAGTAGCTATAATTTTTCTACACTGTTATTATCTAGAACTTTTTTCTTGCAATTTTGGTCTTGTTTTTGATAATATTGACCTTGTTTGTGTAAAAGGGCTCTTGAACACCCTTTTTCATGTAAATTCAAATATCTTGGTATTAAATGCAGGTCTTTATTATAGGTATACGGTGTTTTTCTTAATATATCAACTGAAATTGTCAAAATGTTCAAGCGACAGCTGTAAGAGATCTGGATATTGACAGGGTTTATAATCATTATTTCCTGCATCTAATTATTCAATAATGCATCTATCTACCATATCTCAGAAATAAGCATAGGTGTAAAAGCTTCAATCAAGTGCCGTCATTTTGGTTTAATTGCTTTTGATATGGAGTTATGAGTCCCTAATTACAGATTAAAACAAGGCAGCAAAGCTGTCAAATGTACAGACAAAAAAAAACAGAAAATAAAGTTGCAAAATAGGTCATTTTGTCAATTTTGATACAACAATAAATAATGCTTATAATAGCACTGTCAGTCAACACTGAATTTTAATCATGCACAACAGGTAACATGGTCAATAACTGGAGCGGACCCAGAGATATATTCTGACAGTATTCCAAAGTATCTATGTTGACCCATCCTCCATTTTGATGGTCTTCCAACAGAAAAAAAATAGATACCGGTCAATATAACCTTAAAAACCTGACTGTCTTCCGGAAGACCCAGAAGATGGTCTCAATCCACTCCTTCAATAAGATTACAGTTTCAGGACCATGAGAGTTCAAATTCACATGATGGAAGTCCCAATATTTGAAAAATGATGACAGTGCATAAAATAATATTACATAATGTTTTAAGACATAAAAACCAATACAACTGCTTATGTGGAAATACAGAAAATGTGCAGAGCCTCAGGCGGAAGGGAGTCAAGTCACAAATGCCAGTGTTTGAGAAAAAATTAAAAAGGAAAACATAGCAAAACTAGAAAAGCACTCCGAGAGCGCAGACCTCTGCCAAGGCAGCAATTTTTGATTATTATTGATTATTGATTGATTATTGATCCGAACCACCACCAAAAACTAATCATTGTCCTCCTTGACCCACTTCTGACAGTTCCTGAAAATTTCATAAAATTCGGTCCATAACTTTTGAGTTATGTTGATGACAGACAAACAGGGGTGAAAACATAACCTCCTTGGCAGAGGTAAATATTATTCCAATGAAGCTGCTATTCAAACTTATAACCTCCTTGGCAGAGGTAAATATTATTCCAATGAAGCTGCTATTCAAACTTTTAATCTTTGAGTTTTATATATATATAAAAACTTATTTGCAATACTAAACAAAATCACTGCTTCCTTATTATTAATCTAGCAGAGAGCTTGACCTTTGGGAGTTTACAGGGAAATATCAACAAGTGTGCTTTATGTAATCTCATTTAATGGCCTATTAATTAGGCAAATGACTTTATAACTCTGAACTTAGCCTAGTGATACCCAAGGGAAATTTACAGACTGGCCCTCTCAAAGGTCTTCAGGCCCATAAGTAACACCTTAAGAAAAGGACAAAACAATAATGCACAAAATAGGAGACTACCAATTCTGATGCAATAATATATTATGTTTAACTGCACAGTCAACATCAAATTTTAATTATGCACAACAGTTAACACCAACGAAAGTAAAAGCATAAGGCTTCAGGCCCATCAGAGTTCAAGTTTATACTTAGAAAGTGCCAGAATGCGAAAAATGAAAATTTCACAAAAAAAGCATAAATTTAATAAAAATGATAATCCAATAGAGCTGGTTTTCTAATATGAGCTGTATGTCAATCCCAAGAATCATTCTTGTAAGACAAGTTGAAAAAATAGAAAGTAACAGTTTTCTTTCCATAACGTTAATCGTGGCAGTGCACAAAGTAGGTTTTTTGTCAATTTTGATGCAACATTACATAAAATGGTTAAAACTGTATAAATACCACCAATTTTAAAATATCTACTATTAAAAACATGGACATTAAGAAAATTTGATTACCACTGGGCTTCATGCCCAAGGGAGCTCCAAGTCCCACATTGAAAATTCCAGTATGTGAAAGATAAAAATTTTCACAAATATCTCTATAACTTCCAGAAAATTAACTAATGAGACAGATTTTCCAACTGAAGCTGTATTTTAGTCCTATGTTTCTTTCCTTTAAGTGTGAAAAGAGCAAGTGACATGGTTTTCCTTTAAAGGTCACTACGGAGGCAGTGCCCAAAATAGGGTTTTGTTTAATTTTGATGCAATATTACACAATGCTTAACAGCATAATAACCATCAGTTTTTTAATGATAAAATAAAACTATCATGGATATTCAGAAAATGTGACTAGCCCATAGAGTTCAGAGTCACACTTTGAAAATCCCAAAATCTAAACAAGAGAAAACTGTATTGAAAAGAGTTTATTTCCATTTTCAACACCTTTTTTACATAAAACAAAATAATCAATTTACTGTCAATTTTATATGATCAATTAAAAATATGTTGTCAAAGGAAAAATATTAACAGAACATATTTAAATGTCTAACTTGCTCCATTCTGAGATTCTTAACTTAGTGAATGATTGAATCTGACGAACTGCAATGATATGAGTTCCTTTCCATTTTTGATACTTTATTACACAATGCACAATAAAAGGTGTACCGTCATTTTTATATAATCAACTAACAATATTTTTAAGAAGCAGAAAATGTCAAAACAACACTTTTACATATCTAATTCGTTCCATAATGAGACTGTAAACATGCCTAAGAATTAAATCTGAAGAAAAACCACTTATATACAAAAAGGCTAATAACTTCAACAAAACTTAACTGATCAAGCTTATTTTCAAACTAGATCCATATACTAGTCAGACTGATCACTCCTGTGAGTTTCAAGACAAAAGGCTGATTGGTTTTCCTTAAAATGCATTATCAGTGTTGCATATATGCTGAATAATGGAAAAAAACAGCATAACTTTTGTAAAATTAGTTCAATCAAGCCAATTTTCGAACTTGACCTACGTATTATGAATATTCATCAGTTCTGTAAGTTTCAATCCAAAAGGAAAAACATTTTTTACACTTATCATGTTATCAGTGTTATAATATTGCTGAAAAAAAAAACAAAAAAAACAGGATAACTTCCATAAAAATTGCCCGATCATGCCGATTTTCAAACTTGATCTGCGTATTATGAATATTCATCACTTCTGTAAGTTTTAAGCCAAAAGGTAAAATGGTTTTCCACTTATCATGTTATCGGTGCTGCATATATGCTGAAAAAAGTGAAAAAAACAGCATAACTTTCCTAAAAATGACCCAGATCATGCGGATTTTCGAA